AGATATCACTTCAACAGGCTTAAACAACAGGATGGTCACCCTGTGCTACTACAACAAACAGCGGTCTATGCCAAGGCTCATGGCAGCCGCGGTACTCACCCAGGTCCGGATCCGTCTTTTATGCAGTGCACACACCTTCAGAAGTCGGGATGTGCTGCTCGTAATGCCCCCTTTTTTATACGCTCTACCCATGCGCAGTTTCCATCGAACCTGGCCGGAATCATGGTTGGATTCATACTCGGTGCAGAGCGACACAAGCTGTGGATTTCGCAACCGGGGCCGACGGTCATCATCATCATCCAGAAGCTCGGCCCCACTGCATGAAAGGTTGTCGCAACTAAGGCAGTACCCGAGTCGTGCTTCTCTGATCGAACTTCGGTGCATCTGCGGGCAGGATATCCTCCCCTTACTCTTACTGTCTCCAAAATGCACCTGGACCCGGCATCGCGTCAGGTTCGCTCGCCCAATTCTGTTCCATCTCCGCTAACTTCCCTCGTATGCACAGTTGCTGCTAACCCCTCTCCACGCCCCCTCTCTCAAACTCCTCGCTCGTGCCTTCAATCGCTCGATTCCGAGGAGGATCGAGTGAGTTACTCGCCCCTCCGTTCCGCCTGCTTCACTCATCCCGTTGTGGCTCCGTGCACCACGTTTTCTCTCTAACTTCCTATTCACCAACCCTCCCTCAAAACTAACATCATCTCCGAATTCGCCCTGCCCTTAAACCATCTCTTCGGCCCTTTCCGCACCGAAATCCATTCGGAAACGCCTAAGCTATGTGTTTTCCACCTCCCCCCTCTTTCACGTCGGCCATAGCTCGACGCACATATTTTTTCTACTAACCGTTGAACTTGCTAACCTACCACTAATTCCGATCCCGAATTTGGGGTCGCCACCCCTTATAACCCCAGATTAGCTCCTTTGTTCATCGAAAACAGTCGAGAAACGAACGATCAAATTAACTTCATTCCCAACTTCTTCATTATTCGGCCATAGCCCAGGCGCACCATCTTTCTCTCCTACCTCCCATCTCTGCTAACTCTTAACTGAACTGACAGCGCTACTAGATTCGCAATGATGGAGAACCCCTATATAGCCTCCTCCCATGCTCGATTCCGACCTGAATCGAGCGGGCCATACTTCTTTGGCTGCGCCCCGACCATCTCCCCACCACCTCCAACTCCCCTTTTTGCTCGCATGCACCTGACACGTTTCTGTGCCTAGGTTCACTCGCATTTTGCTCGGCTTTCCCAACTCGCCCTTACCTCCTTCTCGTCACTATGTTCCGCCATGGCTCCCTCACTCTCAGTATGCACCCCGCGCAGGAGTCCATCCGCGTTCATCCTCTTTCGTCTCACTCTCCCACTCTGCGCCCGTTTCCCTTCTGTCTCCCGGTCCTCACTCTGCGCCCGCTATTAGCGCAGGCTTTAGCAGGTTACGGTCCGACGGCGACCTTCGCCTCGGAATGCCCAACTGAATTGCACCTCCCCGTGCTACTTCTGCGCCCGCGCCCACAACATTTCGCTCCTCCTCACCTCTATCGGCTTCACCCCTCCTCTCTCTGTCGCACGCACCTGGCGCCCCGTCGTGCCCAGATTCAGTCGTCTAATCCTCCCCTCGCTTCACTCCTCCTCTCTCTGTCGCACTGTGCCTGCTTGCTCCGATTACTGCCGAGGGATATGGCGATGCCAGGCGTCCTACAAACGATTCCGGCGAGCGCCGGTCCCAAGCCGGTTCGATTAGTCTTTCACCCCTATACCCAACTCCGACGAATGGCTAGCACCGCCGCAGGGCTACGGCGTCCATCACGGTCCCTACCTTGCTACTGGGAAGTCTGCAAGCCCCCTCTTCCGGGCATTTCGGAGGGACTCAGCCCCCTGCCAGTCCAGGTTCACTCGTACCCCCACCTGCACCTGGCGGGACCCGCATCTGGGTTCTGACCGGTGCGGCCCGCTTTGAATTGGCTACTCCGTACCGGCTACGGCTAACCTCCCCCGCAGTGCTCCAACCTTTACGAATGCCCTAAAGGACTTGGCCTGGGCCGTACCCTACGACGTTTCAAGCTCGCGTGGCCCATGTACGTAAAATTGTTTGGTCTTTACTCGTCAAGTTCCACTATCAGGGTTCGGGCACAGGCCTACTCTTCAACAACCGACAGATGTACCCACTGAGCTAGGCCCTCAGGCTCTAGCCCAGATCCCCGCACCGCGCCTTAGTACGGGATGCGGGTAGACGAAGACCAAAAAAAAAAAAAAAAAAAAAAAACAATTACGAAGGGGGTATAAGACTCGAAGCAGGGACAAGGGAGGGACTCCCGACAGCTTGCCAGTGCCACAGCTCGGGCCCATAGTCGCGCCTACCAGCAAAACCAGAGATCCGATTAGCCGACAAACACAGGGTAGAGGCCTCCATCAAACAATACCTCCACAACTATATGCTGCCAGGTTTCTAACCCGGGCCCCTCACCGTCCAGACATTTGGACACTGACAGCATAAGTTCCGAAGACCTTCCCAATCGTCCTCTCCCCGGTCCTAAACAACCTTCGGCTTCTCGTTGGGAGTCCTTAGTCCTGGCCAAAACTAGGGGCGCGGGCCTTAACCGAGACCTTTGAAGGCACTCTCGCCTTCCTTCTCATAAAATCTCTCGCAATCAAATACACATGCGTATATATGTAAGTATCCACTCAGCTCTTTCTGCAGTCTAGTACAAAAGGGCTAGGTCTCCATCTTGGCCCACCATAGCCTGGCTGATCGGACCAGGACTACGACCCACCGCATTGTTATCTAGCGGCAGTACCCTCGCTGGTTGCGCAATGATGAGTTTTCCCCTGATAACCATCCAATCAGTGCTTTCCAAAAAAAACTCGACTCTTACCCCGCGAAGCAATTTCCCTGGGGCGGGCAACTCCCCGTAAATTCTTACTCCGCGGTCCCGCAGCCAGGTTGCGCCAGCTAGCAGCCATCCACTGGGGTTGCGCGCGAAACTTCTTTTCCTCTAGTTTGACCTTTCTTCAATATGTCTCAGAACTAGTACAAGTGGTTAAACAAGACGCCTCAAAACAAAAATCACGGGCCTACTGCGAGGTTACGCAGGGGCCTTAAGGCAGTTACCAGTTCTCCCTCAAAAGGCATGACATCCTTCGCACAAATCATAAACATAATCATCACTAGGTCCACAAGGCCGTGACCCCTGACTTGATCAGAGCCAGCAGCCACTCATCCTGAGACATCTCTCGCCCTGTACCCCATCCAACCTTCTCAAACACTTCAAGCAAACGTGACCCTTTTCGTCAGACTTTATCACTCATCAGACAACTGATCATGCAATTTATTAGTCCACCCACCTTTGGGGGTGAGTCTTCCATCAACCCAAAACCACCCCCTTTTTCAAAAATTCAGGGGATTTCATCACACAGCCAAACACCCCCTCTTCCAAAAATCACGAGGGGTCCCATCATAAAGCCAAACATCCTCCCTTTTCCAAGAAATCTAAGGGGGTCTCATTATGGAACAACCATCACGGAGAGACCATCTTATGGGTCCTCGTCACAACTTAAGCAATCAACATTCAGCATGATAAAGCATTCGGGTCTCAAAGATCCACAAATCCCTCAGGATCTTTACGATCATTCACAAATAGACTGCACTCCCTCTCCTTATACTTTGCCTTATTACCTGCCCGTGAGCAGGCCGCATAAGTATACCGAAGAGTAGACAGTTTTACATAACTCACATCCATTAACATGAGATGCATCCCGAACATCTCTCACACAAAACCATCATCCATCCGAATAAGAACCACACATGTGAGTGTGAGAGTGATCGTCATACACAAAGAATAGTTTTGGAAAGAAAAATCTCGATTTAATATACACCCAGGGATAAAAATGCCCCGCACACAAATGTTTCCAAACCACAGCTCACTCGTCTCAAACAAATCCAAGCTCACACCAGTACTATCCTCAGAATACATGTTGGGTTTGTCTCTCAAAGGTCAGGGTGTAGGCCACGTAAATATATACACGCCCCATCTATCACGTCCCGACCCTCAAGATGACAAACTCAGTAGAAGTCCAAATCCAAACCATCAATCAGATGCAAGTAAACATCTAAGCCTAAAGGACGTAATATAATCCTAAGCTCAGGTCCTATGCACAATATGCCAACCATATAGGTAGACCAGTCCTACTTGCTCATCTCCTCCTGGTTTTGCCTATATAGTTGGGCCCTACCCCCATCTGCCGATCTTTCCACTCTCCTGCCCTGTCTATCATACGTCCTGCCACCCTCCTCTGTAACTTTCCCTTCAGCCTTGTCCTTTAAGAATTTAGGACACTGCAAGGCTCGATGACCCTCCTTTGTACAGAAGAAGCAGGATGTATCAAATCACTTCCTTGATCTCTTCTTCTTCCTTTGAGATCCTGACGACGATGGCGCTTCGCTGACCTCCCTGCTCAGTTCATGGCTCTGAGGCATATCCAAAGGCTCCTCTCCTATCTCCTGCCCCTGGGTTCTCGGTCCTGGTCGAACCCTAATCCCCTCTGGCCCATACTCAGGCGTGTCCAATCTCTGGGGCCTGCCCTCGACGACACCCTCTGTCTCAATCCCCATCTCTCCCTCAAGAGGTTCCTCTATCCTCTGCTCAGGCGAAAACAAACTCGCCTCCTTCTGCATAGTATGCACTGCCTCAAGGAGCACGTCCATGGATCTCTCTGCTGAGCCCTTAGCTCGCTCACTGTTGGATGGTGGTAGCCTCTCCTCCATTGCCAATGGCATGATTGGGCCCGCTGCAACTATAGGTAGCGTCGTGAGCTCAGTAGGGGCTCTGAACTCGAAGGCCTCTCTCTCTGCCTCCCTCTGGGCTTTCGCCTCCTCTGGCTCCAGGATAACTCTCCCCATAGGTGGTTCCTGGCGAGGCTCTGCTGCAGATGGCTGCCCCGACAACCCCTGTCCTGGCTGCCTCTACTCTCCCTGCCGGCTGCTCACTGGCTTGTCCGCTCTTCCCTGAAATTGCTGCCTCAGGTTCTCGATGATAGCTGTCTGGCTGGCCACCAATGCCCTAAGCTCCTGGATTTCCACCTCCATAGCCTTCAGGCGTACTCCATGGCCTTCTTCCTTGGCCTTCTTCCTTTGTCTTCTTCCCCGCCAGATCGCTCTCCAATAACAAGTGCCGGTCAAAAGTTGTCTTGGCCAGAAACTTGATTTTGTGATCCAACCTTTCTTCCGCATTCCTTGCTACCCCAAACCCGACTCTGGTTGGCGAAGGAAGCTCCTCTCCTCTTTGCTCCCAAAAGTCCCTCCACATCTCTGGGATTTCGGGAGCCTTAGGTGGCGCGTTGGGTGGCTGATCCGGAAGTGTCCCTGCTGCCTCTAACTTCTGCCTTTCCAGTTGCTGCTCCGGAAGTGCCCCCGCTGCTTCCAATCTCTGCCTTTCCTGCCATATCTCTTCTATTCTCCTGCTTCGTCTCGCCCTCTTCTCCTCTGCCGTCTCGCCGGCTGGTGCCCTCTCCCTCGTGCGATGGTCGACCCTCTTTGGGATTTCTGCCTCCACCTCCTTCTCAGGCTGGCACGACTCCTGGCGAGGCTCTGCAGGTGCTGGCTCCTCCCGGTCTGGGTGCTCCAGGGCATGAGCTGCTAAGTGTCTGTCAATCAAAGTCAAGGCTTCTCTCCTTACAGCCGTAGTCTCTCTCCTCCTTTCTGCTCTCCTCTCTGGCAAAGGAACCTTTCCTAATGAAGGCAATCGGGCTTCCTCTCTCTGTAACCCCTCTCTTGCCTGGCGAGTGCTCCCTGGTGCATCCCTGAGTCTCAAACCCACCGCTGGCGTCCGAGTGGGCGTGTCCTCTCCAACCTCTATCACTTCCTTCCCTGCACGTCTCCCCTCATTGCCCAGTCCTCTCTCTCGCTGAGCATCTCAGACCTCCTCTCGTGGCATCTTCTCTTGTGGCACCTCCTCTCGTGTCACCTCCTCTGCCTGTCCTTCACGCTCCTCGCCTCGAGGCGACGCTCCCCATCGAGAGACGTCCAGATGTGCCTCCAACTCTCTCAACGGCCCCTCAGATGTCGACGCCTCCTCCTGTGTGCGCACTGGCGACCTTCTCAATCCACCCTCAGTAAAACGACGGAACTCCACTGGTCCCAGTCCATACTCAGGATACGTCCCTCGCTCCTCATCCTCAGGCTCTGGCTCCTCTTCTCTCCTCGCTAGGGCGTTCTGTCCCCCTCGGGATGACCTCGCCTCATTGGGCTCAGGTTCCCTCTGCCTCCTGCTCCTCTGGCGCCTCTCAACTCGGGGCTGAGGCGACTCTGACCGCCGAAAGGCCTCCCTCAAGTGTGCCCTGCAGCTCTCCCAATTTCGGGCCATATCTCTGATCTGCCTAGCCAGTGGCCTCTCCGTCTTTCTGGTCCAGAGGGGTAGCGTCCTCGCCCAGTCATCTCTCGGTGTACCCTTCCCCTACATAAACCACTCGAAGGCGGGGATAAAATCTGCCGAATTTTCGATCTCTAGGCGAATCGGTCTGCCATCAGGTCCCACAAGCGAAGGTCGTAGCTCCTGCATCCTCATCTCCACCTCTGGCCTCGTCGTCACCTCCCTACGGATCCGGGCAATGGGCTCCTCGAACGTGTTGGCTCCCCTCAATCTCTCAATCGCCTGGGCCACGGTCCAGCCCATACGCCTCGCATGCTCCCAGAAACTGTCCAGGAATAACTCGATGTCCCCATCATCGTATACCGGAGTACTTTCTCGATGGTGAGGCCTATGCCGCTCATATCCTCCTGATGCCCCCAACGGCCTTTGTGGCGGCCGTGTCCCCTTCCCTCCTCTTCGCATGGCTGTCTTCGTAAAATCAGACCTGCACAAAAGGCGAAGTAGACAAAAGGCACACGTTGGGGTAAGCAAACAGGTGATAATCAAAGCAAACTCAGACCAGACCATACTCATGCAGCATGCAACCTATCTGACCTACACATCCTATCGCTTTTACTTTAAGGGAAGTTAGATCATCTCTCTCACCTCTTCTCTCGCCACAAATTTCTTCAGCCGCGTCTCAGATACCCAGTCCTTCCATTCAGTCTCATTCAACTCTTCAATCTGGTATGCTCCAAAATCTCCGCACCGCACGATTCGGTAGGGACCTAACCACCTCTTATCGAGTTTTCTGGACCATTGCTTCTCCAATGATGAATCGTATAGGAGTACGACGTCCCCGACTGACAAAGGTACTTTCCTTACTTGCACAGACTGGTCCCAGCGAGCCTTATTATCCATACGGCTCCTCTCCACTTGGTTGGACGCCTCCTGGATCCTTTCCTCTATCGCCCCCACCTGACGAGCCCGAATATCGAGTAACTCTTCAAAAGACAAGTTGACTTCTAGATCCTGTCGCCTACAGGCTATGAATCCCCCCCGGCAGCGGACAGGCGCGGCCAAGTCCGCGGCCGCGGCCAGTCCGCGAAGCCCGCGGATGTGTCCGCGCGAACGCGCGGATTCGCGGACACGTGGCAACGGCAGGGGAGGGGGTTTCACGATCCTGGCGGGGCCACGTGGCGGCGCATCCCCTGCCCCACCCCC